GCGACAACTGTCACAGCACCTGTCTCTGGATTGAACCGGTAGACTTGATCCTGCAGACCGGGCGCAGGGCGGAAGTCCTGCACGTAGCCATAGATTGTGTCTGTGAAGTAGATATCTTTGTTTTTCGGGTGGATGGCGACATCATTCAGAGAGTTGAATTGGCGGCCGAAGTAGTTGTTAAGGATAACTACAGACCGTTTTGTTAATCTAGAAATACAAAGAGGTGGTTTGTACTAACCTGTAGCGTTGAATGGACTTTTCGGGTTCATAACCCACAAAGCAGGGGGCTCATAGTCACCTTGACCCTCGCCGGCGAATATGATCTGTCCCCGGTAATTGGTAGCCCCTGAGCACCGTTAGTTATCTTTAACTACTAAAAAAGAGCTGGTCATCTACCATTTGGATTGAGAATCGTTGGCGATGACGGAATGGTGGTTACATCCACAAGGCCCACGGCATCCGACTTCTGGGAGACAGCAGCAGCGTCCGCAAGCGAAATCCTCTCAATGATAGCCGACTTTTTAAGACCGGTGCTGGCGTTCTTAGCACCTGCATTTTGGACAAAAAACACCTCGTCCGTTTCCTTGGACCTAGAAAGTAAAGTCAGATGCTATTTTTCCTTGGCTTGGACTTATTTCCGTGTTGGATACCTACCATACAACTGCTTCATGGAATAGAGGGTCCTTTGGGGAGTGTGCGATCCGGGTTAGAGTTGGAGCTTCTCCGATGATCTTCAGAAATTCCTTGTCGTATATATGGAAAGGCCGCTGGGCTAGACTGTTTCCTGTCGACCCTGGAGGCACAAATAGCTACGCATTGGTTAGTAAAAGGGGCTACTGGAAACCGCAATTGAGGAATCGCGTACACTCTTCGCATTGAATTCGGTTGGGGGTTGGGTCGTGTCCAGGACATTGAAGGCTTTTTGGTCAATCAACTGCGCTTGAGCAGGAATCTTGCTCGGGCTGACTGGCACTAGGAAGGACCCTAGGAGTAGCAGTGTAGCTAGTGAGGAAAACTGGGAAGCCATCTTTGTGATAGTGCTAGGTACGTAGAACAATCCTCGAAAGAAGGGGAGATCGGGCATTTATGCGAGGGGGCTGGGGAAGTGGGGTATAGACCCCTCATGCCTTTTTTTCAGGGACAATATACTCCGTACAGAATCCCCGGACTTCCAGCTAAAGCTATGGCGTGTGTCAATTCTCGGAGTTGGCCCGATGATCTGCATATCGACGTCAGCGCCGAGCACCGCCTTTCTGCTGAACAATGTTTTTGGTTGTTTTTTTCGAAAGTGATTTGGAAGACTCTTTATATGTCTTTTGAGGTGTTTTCTTCGCGGTTTCTAGTTAGAGAAATAATAAATAGTTATTGCGGAGCGAAGCGAAGCAATTATAGAAGTACAGCAACGGGAATAGTAGTACGGAGTAAACATGCGGGGTTTAGCACTACGATATATAGTAACGAAGGCGGGGAAAGGCGTACAACGTACAGACGAATTTTCTATGTGATAACCAAAGAGTAATGATCTTGTCTTCCTTGTTCATCTATCTCCTTGTGTTTTACCAATACCTTGCAACTTTCCAGTTCTGGAGTCCCGAACTTTGACTTGAAATTGAAATTGTACTTGGATTTGGATTCATTGCTACTCAAATTGACAGCATCGCATCTCTTGTGTAACTTGTACTTTATGTTTCAAGATTTATACAAATCACACATCTCTACAACATAGCTACAGTTTCATCCGCCACTTCAATTGGCCAAGTCCTGCATTATAGTGGGACGGCCTGGAGCCCTGATACTGGTTGATTGGTCTTTGACATTAGGAAATCCCTGGAAGTAATCCCCTGGCCACGAGTCGAGAAGGGCAGTGTCTACACGTGATATTGTCGTATAATAATGGCCTGATGAAACAGACATAAAAGCGCCGAAATTGACTATTACTGACTCGGTGCGACTATTATTCTATCATTGGTTCTAGTGGATAGAACGCATCCTAGCTTGTGGGTTATTGAGGCACAAATCTCACCAGCGAATTGCAATAGATACTGCCCTTTTGAAAGTAAAAAAAGTGGCCTCAGAAATCAAAGTTTTCATTGAAGATGAAAGACCCTGAACTTCTTTCTAGACTCTTCCAGATTCACATGTGTAGACTTTTCGTTTGTCACAGAAACCCACAATTTTGGCCATATCTCATAGGGATGATCACATTAGGGCTTTGTTGTGTGTATCGTCTACTTTCATTTTCGACCGTTTCAAGCCGAAAAAAGACCAATCTTTGTTCAAATATCCGAAACGATTACTGGACCCAACATGCCATGGCTTGTTTCCACATTTGAGAGATTGCAACGTGAACCCCGCGGTCTGTTCCAAGGTTTGCTCTTCAAACACCGAGTTCTTTATTACTCCGAATTCGCATAGGTTAGGGCTTGGCCGTGGAGCTAGTGGAACACAGAAAGAATCACACGATCCACTAGGGAAATCTTAGCCGGTAGAAGGAAGATGGTGGCTTGCATATAAAGAAGGGCCAAGCGACTTTTCCAGAAGAAAGTCAAATGAAGAGAATTCAAGGAACACAGTGGTAAACCATGGATTGTAACAGGGGTTAGCGCTGATTGGCCACGATACAAGCCATGCCCTGCCAAGACCATACAATCAACTATGATTGGTCAAGATGCCATATTGCCAGCCAATCATATTACTTTGTCTCCTGGACCACAACGTCATTTCCACGGATCAGACAATTTCTACAAAATCCCATCAACCGACTTCAAAGAGACATACTCCTTCTGGCCATGAACCAGCGAACTGTTAAATGCCAATGCCATATTATTATTACGCGTCTCAATATCTCACCTTGATAATGCAGCCATAGTTCTAATCATCCCGGATCTGAGTTCCTGGTAGTTCCGTTGCCTTTAGCCCCGGACCAAAACGATCTGATCCCCGTTGGGCCCACCTTAGGGCATCTTTTGGAGTTGGACCCAGACAGTGCGATTTGCGAACTTTTAATTTTCAGACCGAGTCATCCTTGTCTCCATTCTGCAGTCATATTCTCTTCTCGTATCTGCAATGCTAATATTGTCATGTAGTTCCTCATCCTGGATGTATACCAATTGAGATGCGGAGAATACCTAGTTAGGAAACCCTGGAAAGTGTCTCTCCCCTACCTGGTTTAATTCAGAGCTTGCTCCGGGTCCACCCATGGCTCCCTAAATCAGATGTCCATGGATATAGCCAATGACCAGGCCCACTGTTTACTGGGTAGCCAATGAAGAATGCCCTGGAGTATCTCGAATTCTAGATTCATTGGTGGCTTAGAATGTACACAGATGGGCCCAATCAGACTATACCTATGTATCTACTCCAACCCCAGACCACCTCCAATGGTAACTGCATGCCAAACCCACGGCCTCGACCTTTGTGGAACCCTCTGTATACGAGTCCTTTCAAGGTTTGACGTATGCCCAAGTGCGCACCGCCAGTGGTTCGCTGCGATGGAGCCAGGTACCCGGAACTTTCGGTTCATCTTTCACTCTCGACCTACGAGGCGAGCGTGGCGGGTGGGGAGAAGACTCTGTCGATTTCGAGGGTATATATACTTGCCCTTGCCGTTGACCCTCGTGTCTGTTCTCTTTCCTTCAAGCAACCACACTCCTTTTGGTACTACCGTTCATTCCTTTACAACACGGTCTTTTGAATCCAACTACTACACACAACACTCTTTCATATCTTCACTGGGTTATCTACCTTCATTTGTGACTCAACACACTCCCAACACACAAACCCACCAAGATGCAATTCGCCAAGTCTCTCCTGCTGCTCGCAGCCCTCACCACCAGCACCCTGGCCCTACCCACCACCCTCGAGCGCCGCCAGGCCACATCCTCTTCAGCCGTCAGCGGCAGCAGCTGGACCTCCACGCCCTCCAGCGGCTCGTACTCCACCGCCGGCTTCGGCAGCTCCACCAGCTCCTCCGGCTCAGGCGTAACCTACGCCGGCAACGTGGGCAACCCCTACGGCAGCAACATCATCACCGTTGACGCCGCGTCCGCCAGCAACTACAAGTACGTGGCGCAGTTCACGGGCTCCAACACCGACGACTGGACCGTCGCCATCTTCAACAAGTACGGCCCGGATGGCCAGATGACAGGCTGGTACGGCAACGCCTGTCACACCTTCACTCTTGCCGCTGGCGAGACCGTCTACATTGCCTTCGACGAGGACTCGAACGGTGGCTGGGCCGCCGCCTCCGGATCCACTATCCCTACTGATTCCTCCGGTGGCTACGCTTCTACCTGGGGCGAATTCGACTTCGGTTCCACTACCAACAGTGGCTGGTCTGGCTTCGATGTCTCCGTTATCGCTGCCCAGAATGCTGGTCTGTCTATCTCTGGTATGCAGATCTGTGATGCCCTCGGCTCGGTTTGCTCTTCTGTCACCCAGGACGCTGCTACTGTCAATAACGCTTACACCTCTGCTGAGACGGATATCGGTGGTATTGGTGCTAACTTGGCCTCTGGTCCTGTTCGTCTGGCTGTTACCATTGATTACAGCGGATAAGTTTTGTTTTCTTTGAGATTTGATTTGATATGATTTTGAAGATCGACTCTTGATCATTCTATCTCGGAGGATGGTCTACACCCAGCTGGAATGGTATCTGCTTCTATGTCAATATAGAGACTTTTAGGCTGGTCCTTTTTTTGGTTATAAAAATACAAAACATTCTTTCAATGCTTCTTTCTATTGTAGAACTTTTTCTTTTTACTTGTGGTCTTACTTTGGGGTGTCCGCGTGGCGTACATACGCAATCGCCTACTACGTAGTCGCCACGTAATGAGCCCATCTCCAGGGACTATCCATGTTTCACAAATTAAAGATAGAAATAAGAATAAAAATAGAGTTAAGCTTGTTCCATTCTAAGATCTATTCATAATAACGTTGATTTGATGTAACTATATCGACAAATTCATTACCCAATCCCAACAAAAAAAACAATTTCAGGATTACTTCCGTGGGCTAACAAGACCATATAACTCAAGCGGCTTGATACTGAATGCACCGTTCGACTCAAGCTTATACTTGGGATCCGCCAGCTCAAACGTATTCTCCTTAAGAATGCTGGCGAGAGTAAAGAATGACCACCGCCAAGCCCAGAGCTTGCCAATGCACTCACGCTTGCCGTTACCGAAGCCCTTCTTCGCGGCAGCAGGGAGCTGATCCCACTTCTCGCCGAGAACACGCTCAGGCTTGAAGGCCTCGGGGTCCTCGAAGACAGCCGGGTCGCGGTTGACCTGACTCAAGACCGCGATCATGGGCTGGTTGTGGGCAATTTGGTACTCGCCACCGGCAAGAAGGACAGGGCTCTTATCGTCAGAAGGAATGGGCTCGATGTTGAAGCCCGGCGCGGTGGCAGAAAGACGGATCGACTCGCGTAGGATGGCCTCGACGTAATTAAGGCTCTGCAGATGCTCTAGGTCGATATTGCCGTCGCCGACCACGCGGTCGATCTCCTCCTGCGCTTTGGTGATCTCGCTCGGGTTCTCCATCAGGTAGTACAGGGCGTAGGATACGAGGTTGGGTGCTGTAGCGGCACCGATAAAGATCGAGATAATCTCATCGATAATCTGCGACTCGGAGAGCTTCTCGCCGCTCTCCGGGTCGGCGCCGTTCATCATCGCATCCAGGATGTCCTTGCGGGCAGTCTCTGGCTGCTCTTTCCGGGTCTTGATTACCTGCGCAGCGAAATCGCGCATGGTCTTCGTGTCTTTCTCGAATCGGCGCTGGTATACAAGCCAATTCAGTAACTTGGGGCGGGTGGGTCGCTTCATTGCCTCCAGTGTGGCGCCGTCCATGGCGCTGAGCATGGGTGGCTCGGCGCCTTCGAGCACGTGCACGCGCTGGTTGAAGAAACATTGCATGCAGGATGCAAGAAGGAGACGGTCCAAGTCATTGGTGAGCAGAGTGCGTGTCTTGGTTCCTGCACTCCACTTCTTGGTCAGGTCCGGGATGACCTCCGCCATGTCACCGAAGAGGTTGTCGGTCGCAGATTGCGTAAGATGAGGCATCATAATCCGGTGGGCGATACCCCAGCTCTTCTCGTAGTCGTATGCTGTGAACAGACTGTCGTGCACGGCATATCGGATTTCGACCACTGGTCCTGTAACACACTTGCGGAATCGGGTCTGGTCGCAAATCTCTTCCAACAGAGCGACACTGCCGATGAAAACGATCTCATGTCCGAGGGCATTGATTTTAAAAATGGAGCCTAAAAAATTAGTGATTACTCGTTAGGGCTGGGTTGCTGGCATACCAAATTGCTTAGCCAACTTGTTGAGCGAGTTCCACGTCTCATTGGGGTTGACGTCGAAAACATTACCCAAGAGGGGAACTCCGGGCGGTCCTGGGATATTGGTAGGCATTGTCGCTGAAAAAAAGAACAAAAATCGACCAGGGATATATCGCTAGAATACAAAAAAAGGGTCTGAAGTCAGAGAGAGCTGAAAAGCTTCAAACCCCAGCGGGCCGGGGGAAGTCTTAAGAGCATCATCTCTCGATTTTAGTCTGCATGAACGTATGCATTGTCTCCCGATCGGCAGCTAGGCCATTGGCGCAAGAGGGTTCTCACGCTCGGCCTAAGTCTCCATCGTTCGCAAAAGGTGTGGGAGCTGAAGGATCGGCGCGATTGGCGATGTAATAGCGCAGATTGGCGCCGCCGATCGCACTGGGATAGGCAAATCCATCAGGATAACTGGAACCCATCTGCAGCCATCTGGGGCTGCTGGAGTAGGTAAAGCGCGCTACGGGCTGTAGTGCAGCCAGTGAGCGCAATGGGGATCAACACAATTGTCAGCTGGGATCTGCGAAATTTCCCACTCTGCATCTTCAAACTGGATTCTCCATCTTGACCGCTACTGTGTAGCATTCTCCTTGCAATGACTAGGTATTGACTATTGTGTGAGGGTAGAGCATCACACAGATGTTGTACTCAGTACAATATACGTACGGATGTCCGGGGTCTTGGAGAGGTCGAATCTCAATATGTAAACATGACGTGTCAGGCCGATTGGTACTCTTCTGTGATAATACGTAGTATTAAGAATAACCCAAGATAGTTAATTTGGGATAAAAGCACGGTGACTCTCTCGCCAGGTTTGATCTTTGGTCAACAATTGAAGAGTTCTAAGAGGCAGTTTATCTCTTCCTCTCTGGTAGACGCCCGAGGTTCTTAATATACCTCTCCTTCGACGTCTTTAATACACTCTATACGGCTACGGACTCGATAGGTCTTTGCTAATAACCTATGATTTAAGTCAGCAGGCGCTTAAGGAGTTAGGTTAAGATACTACATTCGAAGATAATATTAGGCATTATAATTTCTATCGCTAGACGGCAAATAAAGTCAATAGTATATTACTTACTAAACGCGATATAATAGATTCATTTTCGCTATAATAGATAGGATCTCTCGTAATAGAGGCTTCTGAATCCTATCCAGAGAGTGAAAAGAAGGAGGTTAGTCAGCCTTTTAAAACCTAGGCGCTGCTAGGGTAATATTAGCTGGGAATCATTGCGGAGCGAAGCGAAGCAATTAAAAAAAATAACTCTCTCCCCCCCCTGGGAAGGGGTCCCCCGGAAGGGCCCCCGGAGGGAACGCCTCGAAAGGAGATCATGTGACCAGGCGCTCTCTCTACTAGGTCGAAAAAAATAGAAATCCAGTCGGTGAAAAAGTAATCGCTGAGAAACGGCAGAATAGATCCAGCCGGCAGAAAAGAAAAACCAATTATCTACCTTAACCAATCTATCCAATCACAGTATACACTTATCCTAATGCGGTTAGACAATAGTATTATTAACCAATCATGTTCTTTTTTTATGCCATCGCAATATATCTACATAGTACATCGCACCTTTCTCTCGGCCATAACACCCTACCTTTTTGTTATTATGGATTCTAAACTATGCTCTCAATGTCGGTATATATGCCCTATACATATGTTTCGCTCGCATACAGATCGAGAGATCTAATCGAGAGTGGGCGCGAAAGTGGTTTAAAGTAGTGGTATAGAGGAAGAAAAACAAATAATGTAGTTTGTATGGGACGAAATAAATCGGAAAAATGTTTGTTTACATTTGGCGGCATGAAAAAAGAGCAGTTAGTCGTTTCGTTCCGCACAACTATCTCGCCGGCCTGCGTATCTCGCCGGCCTGCGGCCGGCGAGATCCCTCGTAGATTCACTAGTAAGGCGGCGTTATAAAGTTGTACGCGGTATATTAAAAAGACGCGCTAATTCGCGAATTGAAGAGATTTCTTTATTTTTAAAAGCCTGGATAGCTAATAAAATCCTACCCTCTTACTCTGCTGAATTGCTAGAGGATCGGGAGCGAATTGGTGGCATAGTGGGTGGTTGAACTAACTAAGTGCTAATCCATGGACGCGTTTTGGGTTGGGTGGCCCACTGGCTTACATGGCCCACTCGCTTACCGAATACGTGAACTAAGCTATCAGATCTGAGAGTGAATCCAACAGCGACCGTTCACTTGACATATACACTTCCCCCACATTTCCTCCGAATGGCCTGTAGTTAACTAACTAGTGTACTCCATGATACCAACTCCGGCGCTAAGATCCACATTACGTCATCTGTGATCTACCATCTGCATACGCTACAGATCAACTCCATCTTGGTTTTCAGAGCGAGACCAGAAACTCTTCTCCTTGAAATACTTGTCACCGCGACGCTGTGCATTCTTGCAGGGGTCCCCATCATCCACCCTTTGTGACGTCCGGTCTGCCGCCCGTCGAAACCACCACCCTGGCACCTGTGAGGACATCCCACTTCCCTACATGCTTGAGTCATGTCGCTCATGTCTCTTTATTAGGTTCTCGCCCCTTCTGAGTCTGCGTCTACTACGGAGCCGCCCGTCAACAACGTCACCCTGCTACCAGTGAGGACATCCTAGCTCCCTGCTCGCTTGAGTGAAGTCACTAAGGTCTCTTTACTAGTTTATCGTTCCTCCGGGGTGGACCACGAATCCTCGAAGTCCCGGATACAAAGCCGACTGGGCGGATCGTAACTCTGAGGGCCAGGTTTTCGCTCCATGCCATGGCCTTACACTAGCGAGGCCGATAATGGAGCATGTGGATTCCCTAATGGTGATTTTCCAATCGGGCGACAAATTCTATCTCTGGGAGCGCGTATCCGATGTCCTTGAGGAAATCATTTCTCGGGATCTGTATGACGTTACTACTGTTATTGCTGAGCGAGGACTTCGAGAGCTGCGTAGGGAGGTTATTCCTTGTCTTTTCGATCCAACTGAGTTGGATGACCAGTCTTGAATGGTTTCTTTTTGTACCGGATTATGCACTCTGCTTTGCTAAAATCAAAGGCTCTCGAATTCTACCACGATTTCTTATTATCTTGTCTCTTTTTTTTTTTTTTTTTTTTTTCTCAAGATGAATGAAACCGGAAGTTAAGAATTCTACTAAAAGTAGACAATCTTAACTAGATCCTACAATCTAACCTATTATAGTCGAGGACACTAGACCATACTAGTTTTATAGTCTATAATAAGTTATGGCTTACTAGCAAAAATTCCCGTAGTTGTAGTCTTATATTAACCATAAGATATAGCATCGACTAAGGTCTAGGGTATATACAGTATTTTCGCTATTGGCCTAAATGACCGAGCTGTGATTTCGAGTTTTCACTGATTGGGTAGAGAGGGATCGGAGAGACCGATAATAACGACAACTAGGCGTTTAGCCAGGTAACCAGGAGCCATTTTATAAAGCCGGGGCTATGTAATATAACCTCAGGTAGTATAGCGGGAGAGGGATATGTAGCATCGAGGGTATACTGGCACATTGCAGATTTGAAGGGAGGCCCGCGGAATCAGAGACGAAAAGGCGCACTGGCAGAGGGAGACTTAGATATCCTCGTAGTATGGTGCTCAGTCACTGCCCTAGGGAAGGAATAGGATCATCGACACGAAAGAACAGGATGCTGTATCATCCCAGTGGTTACGCTTCTGGGTGACAGGCATTGCAAGCTGGATGTCGGATCAAGCGGCATATCCGGTAAAAATGAAAAGGGGCAGTGCGTCGGGCTGAAAGCAAATGTGTAGTAGTCGGTGGGGGCCAGAGTAAAAGAAAGGGGGCGGCGATGAGTGCAAGATAGAGAGGCAGAATAATGGAAAAGTGAGAGAAAGGGAGGAGGAGCAGCGAAGACTGGTCTTTTATGTCGGGGGCATTAAAGGTAGGTTACGTGACAGCGTATTGGGGCGCTAAACCCAAAACGGCAAAACTAACCCGATGCAGTAATTCACAGGTCCGCCTTTTACAGTGTCAACATAAATAAGTCCCTAACCTAGAACCCAAAGCTGTCCAGCAACGAATTGGCATCCGGCTCATGAAACATCGTAGGAGGTGGCTTCGGCTTCGCTTTTTGTTCTTCTTTCTTCGGTTTCTCGCCGGGTGTGGGTTCCTGTGAGACATCTGCTCGGCGCACCGGCATATCAGCAACTACGAGGCTGCTCCGCCGATGAAGCATTTTCCGGTAATCGACTCCGTTCTCGTTCATTTCCAAGGAGGTATTAGGCTTCAGTACATCCTGACTAGGCAGTCCGCCTAGGAACTCCCAGTGGCGTACCAGATCGAGAGCGAGGAAGTCACAGCCCATACGGTCGTAGAGTCGGGCATTGCGAATAACGAATTCCCATTCTTCCCTGGGTCGCACTTTGGAGGCGCCTTTGAGGGTTTGGAGTGTCTTTTCGCGGAGTTGTTGATATAAGACTACCAAGGCAGGATCGTTGGACAGATATGACTTGGACTGAAGGGTTACTCGCCCCGGGCTTCCCGGGGTGGCTGGGGTCGTCGATAATAGGAGGGTCTCGACCGGCGACTAGATTTGATTAATTGGGGTCTGGCGACTAGAGAAGAAAAGTACTCACAATCAGTGCCCGCACTGCCATATCCCGTCGTCCAAGCATCCAGAAAGCCCAGGAGGCCTGCCAGCGGTTGCCCTCGGAAGCGGCCTGAGGCAATACCTTTTCTTCTAGTATCTCCCGAAGAACCGGTCCATTGTCCCCTTCGGAGGCTCGAGTGATTGCGATCGCAAGCTGGAGATCACCCATCTGGTTTATGATGACGTTTGCAGCGTCACGCAGATGATCGGCGAGAAGGAAGAACGATGCTGCATATTCTGTTGGGTGTTAGCCGGAAGTGATCGGTTGTAGAGTATGATGCTCGACTTACCAAATCGTCGCTTTCCAAGCAATGCATAAGCATTCTTAAGCGCAGATGTCCTCCATCGCGGTTCCCTAAAGTCATTTGCCAACAAACGTTGAGTTGCTGCTTGTTCGCGGTTCCAATGTGCAATACGCCAGAGACCCTGAAGGACGTTCTTTTTTCCGAGGGCTAGGTAATATAAAGTACAATCGATGGGGTTTTTCTCTTCCGTCTTGGTGTATTCACATCGGGCGAGGATTTCGAGTTGCGCTTTCTAATCAATTGGTTAGTTCGTGACCAATGAAATGATGTGACAGACACGCACCACAGCTATGGAATCCGATAACCACATGAAGAGACCGCTTTCACGGGCAGCCTTCCAAGTCAATTTTCCATTGAATTGCCGGGAGACAAGATCTGTGAGAATATCTTGGCTGCTGCTATGGTAAGCCCAGACAATCTCTCGCCATGAGACAGCGTCTTTATTGGCAACTCCTTGGGTCCGCCGCAGCATATGTTGTCGGAAGAATAATAGATACCGAGCTGCATTATCGTCCATTGAGCGCCGGTGCTTCTCAACCATGGCAACGCATTCAATGGTATCTGCCAAGCGGAACTGTTCGTGGCTAGACAGTTGCGGCAAGGCGATTCGTGCTAAACTCTCATTGAGCGCGGCCGCAGCGTTTTCATCTAAGACAGACGGCAATTCCTCATCAGTGGAATCGACGTAGGAAGAGCGCATTTCCTTGGAGACCCCTTGTTGGGAACCCTGATTTTCCTTAGTATTAGGAAGAGATATGAGAAAGTGCGCACTTACATCTTGCTCGTAGAAACATTCTACCGGCATATCTAGGAAACCATCTAGCTCATCGCCCTCCGTATAGAACTTCAGCTTGCGATGTAGGTTCAAGAGAATCGAATGTACCAAGCTAGTCTTTCCAGCCAAAATGCACTGTGCCAAGTACTGTGGATGAAACACAGGCAACGGGCCATTCAGCCGGCTGACAACGTCGAAGAGATCGACAGATGACAGTCCGCGAGATGGCATCCGAAGCTCAGACACTAGGCGGTCTCCAACGTCAATATCCTTGTCATAAACGAACAGTTGATTGCCAGCCCCAATGACTAAATGGCCGTTATTCAGCCAGCAAGAGTCTCCTATAGGGTGAGGTGTGAGATCTCGGATCCAGATCTCCCGAACTTGTGTCCACGAGGGTCGGGAATCTAGATAATCATAGCGTAGCTGAGATAAGAGAACAACTTTATGTGGGAATCCCACGGCTAAGATGGACTGTTTGTCTGGTGTTGACGTCCAGTCCAAATCCTGGATAATGTCATGAGGAGCAAAATGTTGCTCAAATTCCAGCTGAGCATTGTTGGTGTCCCAGATTGTGAGGTGAGTCCGGTCCTCGTCAACCAGAGCTGCCTTGCGAATAGAGCTCCCACTAGCCATAGATGGGTTGGTGATGCCTGTATCAACGGTTGATTGAAGTAGCCAATCGACATTCACATTCACTGGATCGATCGTGGCTGTCCATGTGCGCACAACTCCACTGTAGGTGTAGGAGAGAGCGATGTCGGTAGAAAAAGAATCGAAGAAGCCCGATATTTTTGTTTTGGGGCCTGCTGGGTCCACGGGAAGGATATATGCAACATCCTCCTTCAGCCCCATGTCAAAGGTGCAGAATTCTCGCACTTGATAGCCAAGCTCATTTATAAAGCTCCCCTTGTGGGATCCCTGACTCGGGCCTCGTATTTCCCACGCAATTCCGTGCATGTCTGCCCATATTGTTGCTACATAGGAAACATCTGGAGTCGCTTGGATGCTGGGGATTTGCAGCACACATAGTGGCTTGCCGGGCAGTGAGAATGGCAAAGAAGTCAATTTCTTGGCATGATTTGAGCTGAAATCCCACAGAGAGACCCCATTGTGGTGGAGATTGACGAGAAGATTCATGTTCTCTAGCACACATGTCCGATGAATATGCTCATCCGAGAGGAGGACACTCTTGTATGCTAAGATCGATCTTCCTTCCCGACGCCGCTGTGTCCATACAGTGGCTTTGTTTTCATTGGTACGTGACACTAGCGTATCTCCAATCGCATTCCGAACAATCTTTTTCACAGGGGCAGTATGGCCAGACCAAGAGGCCATCTGGGTGATTCTTTTCGTGCGGGGTGCAGGATCAAACAGAACATCCACACGAGAATCATACCACTCGATCCGACCGTCGAAGTGATGGACCAGGACACTGAGCTTATCGTCCGATGGTGTACTCTGGAATGCACAAATCTGAGCGTAGTCGTCTTGCGGCGATTGATCGAATACAAATCCCAAGTCCAAGCCTTCGACATGGAGAATATTGAAGACGCTCAACTTGGTCTTTGCTCTAGAACCGATATCTTCAAAAGCCCAAGCAGACATATGGCCCCGGCCATCAGTGACAATACAGATCTCCGGGGCCTTGCTCGCAACCTCGATGATATGTTCTAGCGCATGATTTTCCTTGTTTCCTGTGGTCCTCTGAACAGCACGCTCCGTCGCAGCGCAGAAGTCGCGGCCATCTAAAATAAACCCATACCGCCGTTGTGGTCCTTGATCCTCATCCGACGCATGCCTCGGTTGGACCGAATCATCCATGTCAATCTCTGCCCAGAACTGTAGGGCAGAAAGCGCATGAACGTCCGTCACTGCCCATACCCGAATCTTGTTATCGGCGCATAATGTATACAGAACATTATCCATAGATTGCTCAGGGTACCGAGGTAATCGCCAGTGTATCCCGGCGACGACATTCGGATGGGGAAGGTATGAGTTTTCGAACCGAACCTCGTCTGCGCCGAAGGCGAGTCGTCTCCATACCTTGACCAAACGGTCATAATGCCCTACTGTAACAATCAAGGACGAATCCGGAGAAAGTTGCGCGAATTTCACGGGTGTCGCAAGCTCCCTTTTCCATACAAGGCGCGGTTCGTCATTCATAAACCAAAGGGCGAGGCGGGAGTTGCCCACTAGGAGCTCGTTCGAGGAACCCCACGATAGTGTATAGATCGGTTCATCGTCATCGGGGGCGCGGAACGTATAAAGGAGCGACCACTAAATAAAGGCA